ACCTGCAGCAATTATTCTGGTGTTCTAATAGTGATTTTTCATTTTCCTCACTCCTTCTGTATTTATTAGTTAGAATTCTTTTATAAGGAAAAGTTGTCCCTTCTTGCTCATCCATCCACCTATCTATATCAGTGGGAACTCAAGGATACTTATTATTTGGGTTATAATCTAGTACTATCATTATTTACTTTATTAACCAAATCATTACAAATTTGAGCATTGGTGCCTTTTTAGGTTGGCTCCTATGTCCTTTAGACATGCCCCCCCCCACCCCCACCCTTCTTTTGAGCACTTCCTTTCTGGCATCACAAGATGCCCCATGCTCATCTTGCGTTTTTCCTGTGCTAGCCCTGTAATCAGCTACCTCCCTAAGAAGCCCCGATTCTTTTTTATTGCAGAATAGTATTTAACAATCAACATCTCGGTGTTAGGTGTACTCACTGCTACTGAGGTGTCATTGCTTTATTTTTTCACATTAAAAGGCCTTTAAAAGGAGACATTATATAGTATTTAATAGATCTTAAACTATTTTCCAGCCAGTTTTTAAAAATTACATGAAAAAGGTAGACTTGTTTTTTGCCTGTAAGCAGTTTCCATTTCGGTTTTGAATAAATGTTATTGTCTAATATTGAAGACATAATTTTTTTTAAAGATTTTATTTTACATAATCTCTGCACCCAAAGCGGGGCTCATACTTACAACCCCGAGATCAAGAGTTACATGCTCCACCATCCGAGCCAGTCAGGTGCCTCTGAAGACATAACTTTTTTTTTTTTAATGTTTATTTATTTTTGACAGAGAGACAAAGAGCATGAGCAGGGGAGGGGCAGAGAGAGAGGGAGACACAGAATCTGAAGCAGGCTCCAGGCTCTGAGCTGTCAGCACAGAGCCCGATGCGGGGCTTGAACCCACAAACCGTGAGGTCATGACCTGAGCCAAAGTCGGACACTCAACCAACTGAGCCACCCAGGTGCCCCTGAAGACATAACTCTTACTGAGTTTAGAATTGATCCTCTTTTTAAGGTTTTGGTGATGTTTGTATGTGAATTAATGTTTATGTAGGAGGTCAAGGCAGGCCTGGGATGGCCTAGGATGTAATCTCTACCAGGCCTGAGATGCTAGGTAGGATTATGAAATGGAGATAGATACTGAGTGACATGGCAACAGGCAGACGCCTGTTCACAGATCACTGAGATTCATGGCAGGCATGAATTTTTCCCATGTCCAAGTGTTACTAGCAATAAGTTAACTGGTGTTCCTAATTTTCTTTCTCCTGGGACCATAATTACTCCCACACTGATATGGGAATGTCATCCCCATTAGGGTGTGCAGGGGCAAGTGGCAGATAGATATACCTTTGAAGAGAATAACCTGATTTAAAACATTTTGTAATACTATTTTCCAGTATATATATTAATATTTTTTCTGGGGTGCATTTTTCCTATTATGATGTGAAATATTTATGCTATACCATCATTTTTAGGCCTTAGTAATTATATCAAATAAAATTTATGTTTTTCTTGGCTTATTACCTGGCCACCTCTCCCTTATTTCTTATAACATGGAAGATCTTAACATAGGTAACAGAACCAGGGTGACATTAGCTGATGCTCTCTGTCCCCCTTTGATGCCTCCCAGGAATGCCAGTGGTCTGGGGGACAGAGATGCCTGGACTTGAGCTGTGGAGAGAGGAAACTTCAAGAGAGAGGCGTCTCCAGGTACTGGGGCCAATCCACAGTTGATTAATGCCTGTATAGTTATCAGGAGCTAACTGACTAACAGTGATTGCCCAAGCTTATATTTATACTTTTTTTTTTTTTTTTTACAAGATAAAGTATGTACAAGGATAATCTAGTAGCTGTGGCAATTAGTGCAGTTTGAGATAGTTGGCAATGGTTACTTTTCTTGATTTTTATGGAATTTAATTGAGGTTTTAAAATTAAATTTTTTTCTATATTTTGATCTTAAGTACATAGTAGACATTGGATACCTACAGCATATAAACATGCATTATTTTTTTTGACTATCATATCTATTCCAATATGATATAACACTGGGTAGTCGTAACAGAATACATTAAAATGAAATTCTAGAATATTTGACTAGTACAGTCAGAGTTTCTAAAAGGTACACTTGATAGGTTATATAGTTCTTACATCTTTTTAGTTTACTTAAATATATATATAGCATACATAAGCCCCTGAAATACACATACACAGAGATATATACACACATGTATATTTAAGGTACTCATATATATGGGTAAAACATACCAACATTTTTTTCTATATTGTCATGATGGTGTTTTAAACCATAGGAAACCAAAGTCCTAAGAAACCACTATGTATATTTGCTTTTGCGTTTATATTTTAATTGCAGGAAATAAAAATCTGAAGGGCACTCACATAAAAATGAGTTTAAAGTCTAAGATAAAGCTATTATGGACCACTAAATTTACCAGTATGATAACTCTGGTATAATTTATATGTAATGAGATTTTCATAAAATAGGGCTAACTTGGTTGTAAGTTTGCCATTTCTGCTTTAAAAGTAACGAGCAAAATGGTTTCAGGGTTAAGCAAGGGAGATCTATGTATGCATAAAAAAGAAGTACAAATTAAATACTAGGTTGTTGGATGGAACTAATTTGAAGGTATATCCACTGGTTGAAGAAATATATTTTTAGTGTTTACTATGCAGCAGAGACTGTTCTAGGTGTAAAGATAGAGTTGTGAACAAAACAGACCAGATTCTTGCCTTCATGAATTATGGAGACAGGGGTTAAATCAGATTGGTCAAAATATGGGATACAAAGCAGAGTATGTAGAGAGAAATATTGGCTTTGGTATCATTCTCTATCCAGGAATGGTGCGTGGTTTTCATGTAGTATACCAGCTCTCTAGACCCTTCCCTTAGCCCTGGAGTGAGAAGGATTATATGCCACATTCTTGCTAGGGGGGAAAGAGGGCTGTGATTGCATACAACGATCGCTTCTAGGCATGGAGTGAAGAATGGTGGCTTGTGTACTTTGGAATCAGACAGGCCTAAATTCAGCCCCTACCTCTGGCACTTAGTAAACAAGTAAATTTTAGAAGAGTTATTTTATTTTTATTTATTTATTTATTTATTTTTCAACGTTTATTTATTTTTGGGACAGAGAGAGACAGAGCATGAATGGGGGAGGGGCAGAGAGAGAGGGAGACACAGAATCGGAAACAGCTCCAGGCTCTGAGCCATCAGCCCAGAGCCTGACGCAGGGCTCGAACTCACAGACCGCAAGATCGTGACCTGGCTGAAGTCAGACGCTTAACCGACTGCGCCACCCAGGCGCCCCTAGAAGAGTTATTTTAACTGCTATGAACTTGTCTCTTCTTCTGTAAAGATAGGCAGAATTGACAGAATTATTGTGAAAATTAAAAACTCTGGAAGATACTCATAAAATACTGGTTCTCCCCATCTTTTTTCTTACCTTAGTTTTCTTATATCTACAGTGGGGATACTGGGCTTGTCTGTTACTGTGAGAACTAAATCAGTGAAGTAAATATGTGAAACCACTTTAATATGGTTTATAATGTGATATCTGGAAATGGATGTTTTATCTGGAAATGGAAGATTTTTAGGCTTTTGGGCGGCAGCTGGGGAATGGAAGAATTCATGAATTCTTCCAGAAGTGGGAAGTCTTGGATCCCCACATTAGCAGCCCAACATTAACATAATTTACTCTGTGTTGTTTTCTCTTCTTTTTGTTATCAGCCACTAGCTAACCTGCTGCTCCTAATCTCATCTCTTCTTCACATTCCCAAGAGAGTCTGAATAGGCCCACTTGAGCACTGGTATTCTTTTGGGCAGAATTTTCACACCCAGCCACATCTAGGCAGTTGATTGGCCTGTAGAGTTGTTCTTGGATCTGGTGTTCACTAGTGCTTATTCTGACAGTAGCTGTTTTGGCTTATTCTTGCTTTCTTTGCAGTGGGTATAGGGCAGGAGTTTCCCTCAGAAGATGGCTGTGATCACTGCAGACACTAAACTGACCTAAGAAATGCAATGATTATTTAAAGGGATTGAAGGAAATTAGGATAGACTTTATGGTGGGAGATGGTCTTTGAGATTTCTTAAACTATGGATAATTATTTTCTCCTTTCATTTTTCTTTGGTATCTGGTGATTTGCAGTACTTCTTGGAATTGATTGAAAATCATTACTTCTTGAAGTCGTTACCAGCTGATAGATCCAATTCTTTTTAGATTTTAGGCTTCCAAAGAAAAGACTCAGTAAGCTTTGAGTTATTAGTAATTCAGTTGGTAAATTCTTCTTTTTTTTAAAAAAAAATTTTAATGTTTATTTATTTTTGAGAGCGAGAGAGACAGAGCTGAGTATGGGAGGGGCAGAGGGAGAGGGAGACACAGAATCCAAAGCAGGCTCCAGGCTCTGAGCTGTCAGCACAGAACCCGACGCGGGGCTCGAACTCACGAACTGTGACATCATGACCTGAGCTGAAGTCAGACACTTAACCAACTGAGCCATCCAGTTGCCCCTAAATTATTCTTGATAACCCAAGACTTCACCAATCTGTTAGAGATAACTTTGACTCAGAACTTTTTTTTTTCCCTAGTGTAAATCCTACTCAATTCTCCCAAGCTTCTTTCATGTTTCATTATTGGAGTTTGTGAACTATTTCTTTAATGTTTATTTATTTATTTTGAGAGAGAGAGTGAGAGCAAGCAGAAGAGGGGCAAAAAGAGGGCAAGAGAGAATCCCAAGCAGGCTTTGCATTTTCAGCACAGAGCCCGATGTGAGATGCTTGATCTTATGAAGTGTGAGATCATGACCTGAGCCAAAATCAAGGTTTGGACGCTTAACCAACTGAGCCACCCAGGTGCCCCTTGTGAACTATGTCTTAAAACTATTTGACCATAGCCAACTAGTAATAGAAGTACCTGCTAATGTTTATAATATACACTCAGTATATTTGTCTAACAAAATTTAATTCTTTTTCTTCCAGGTAATTTATCCTCAACATTCCAAACTTACTGATAAGGAAGTAAGTAACAATGTTGCTCTGTATAGTCTACTATGGTGTTTCTGTTTGTTTTTATTGGTGTATGTGTATCAACATATATAGCTTTTGTTTTCTTTTTCAGAAAACCAATATTTGCTATTTGTCTTTTCCAGATTCAAATTCAGGTAATTATTTTTCATGTGGTGTTTTTGTTGAATTTTATACTAAGAATATTGATTATACTCTTAATATGTGAAAATGAATTGAAATAGAATTTTAGAATGCAAACTCAGTTTCAGCCTAGCAAGTCAGTGATTGTGATTCTTAGTTTTGCGATGCCAGCCATGTCTTTTTTGATTTTAGTTGGTTCAAGTTTTAAAATAACTGTTATGGGGGCGCCTGGGTGGCTCAGTCGGTTGGGCGTCCGACTTCAGCTCAGGTCATGATCTTGCGGCCCGTGAGTTCGAGCCCTGCGTCGGGCTCTGTGCTGACAGCTCAGAGCCTGGAGCCTGTTTTGGATTCTGTGTCTTCCTCTCTCTCTCTCTGACCCTCCCCCGTTCATGCTCTGTCTCTCCCTGTCTTGAAAATAAATAAGCATTAAAAAATTTTTTTTAAAAATTATAAAAAATAAAAACTGTTATGTTGTAATGAGGTAAAACATCAAGGAGCAATAAATCGTTGAAATAGTGAAAGTGAAAACCAGCAACGTTGGTATGTTTGGGGATTTATAGTAAGTAGTTTACTTTCAGTTTGGGATTTGAAAGCTTACCAAGAACTGTAAAAGCGGTGACTTAAAAAAAAAATACAATAGAGTGAATCTGGTTATGAAGCATGGCCATCAATTACTTGTAATAGTTTGTGTGAGTTAATATATGTAAAGACTTGGAATAGTGCCTGGTGTATAGTAAACACATATAAGCATTTGCTATTATTATTAAATTTGGTTTTACTGGTCTCTTTCAAACTCTCCCTTTGTGTGGTCCTAATTGTTGAAATTTTTCAGGTTGCCTCTTTTGTTTCACTTTCAAAACAGCTTTTCAGACTTGTAGTGACCAGAACATTCAACATCTTAGACCACACACAGTTAGAACCCTATGAAGCAAAGGCACTCCATTATTCCCTTTCCTTTAGTGGTTACTTCTAATATCCTTTTAATTTAGTTTAGTTAATCTGATTTGGGAGATTTGACATTTTAATTTGTAAAAGCATTTTCTCCTTTCCTTGTAAATGTTTCCAGAGTTCTTTCCTATACATTTGCAAGTCAGCCTTCATGAATTGTATAAAAAAGAAATGGTATCTTGGTTAAAAGAAAATGCTTTTGAGAAATCCCAGTAGGACTTTTGTTCTAACTTGGAATTATTGGAATTTCTTAGTATGTTTGTCCATTAATGAAATAAATGATAGAGGGGTCTTATAGGATTTTTCCTCATTTCAGTTAACATTTTCCTTACAAAGTCTACACATGCAGTTCTGAATGTAGTGAGTGTTGAATTGGACTTCCAGGTCTCAGGGTAAGCTGCATTACAGGATAAACTGACTTGTTGTTATTGGAGTCCTGGTGCATTACACTGCACACTCTTCCTTTTGAGATTATACCTGGTTTTCATGGCTCTCTTTTTCACCTTTCTGTATGAGTTTCAAGGCTAAGAAGATAATTTGGATAGCCTTTTTTATTTTTAGTTTTTATTATAGTTTTTCTTTTAGTCAGTCACTCCATGTATCCCTGTCTTGTTAGAAGTTAAACTCAAATGTATATCAGAATTTGTTCAGTATTTTAGTTACTTGAGTGACCTACAGGTGTTTTGTAATGCCTTTTTTAAAAGCTGCACATCAAATGAAGTAGGGTTTGTTTTATTTAAAGTACCGTTGATACTCAGAAGTGAAATTGACAAAAGGTCTTAAAAGAAGACACCTTGTCATCCTAAGAGATGAATATTAATCTAGATAGCATTAGGCTGTGAGTTTTTATGTATTTGAGAGTTCTATTCTCAGTTGTGATTATCCAAACAATTTGTTTCACTTATATGTTTATGAAATGCAAGTTGGGATTGCTGTGCTAACTTTGAAATGGATTTGAATTTTTCTCAAAATAGCTTTTATTGTTTTGGAAGGAAATCCAGGCACAGTAGAACAGTCTTTAGGAAAGAATCATAATCTAAGTTTTGTTTCCATCGTGCACACTGAAAAACAGTGAAACAAGATTCAGAATCAAGGGTGTATAGGTAAAGAACAGTGCTTTTGGGATTCCCAAAGGAATGATTTGCCATTCCTCCACTTCCTCCAGCTGCTATCCATACATACCTTATTTTTTGACAGTATTAATACATTTACTTTTTAATTATATTAAATATAATTTATATT